GAGTGCAAGCGATCTCCTCACCTAAACCAGCAAGCCGAACCCTTGGGTTTAGTGTTCAGGGTTTACGATGGTTTCAGATGGTTTGGGGCTTAGAGTCTACATAAGGGTCTTAGATGGTTCAAGCTTCAGGTTCCAGCTGGTGTAATATCGGAGCCTATATTGAATATCCCCCCCACACTATTAAATGGGCAGGGCTTGGTGGCGCCCCCTTATGCCCAAATATCTTGTCCATTTTCCGGGTTGCCGTGTATCATATGATGCCCCCAAGGGAACGAAAATGGACGGGAGTACGTCCCAGGGTGGTTTTGTCCATTTACATGTCTGGGGTTGTAGGATGCTATATACACATGCAAAATGCATGCACTCATGTGGGCATATACACACACGTATAGTATATATCTATACACATAGATGCATACACATATACCGTGTGGGTAGGTGTGTGTTGAGGCATGCGTGTGCATATATATATATATATATATATATATATACATAAACTTATATGGATAGGGCGTCGACGTCACTTCGCTCTTGCATGCACTTGATCCGTCCGCCTTTGGGTCAGGTACTGTCATGTGTGATTGTGTTCGGATGTGTCAATCCAGGCAAACCTAACGAACCTAACGCCGTGACCCCTCCTCCTCCCTCCTCGGATCCGGCACCTGAGCCCTAAAGCCTGTGAAGGAACTCAGGACCCCGCCAAAAAAAAACTTAACAATTCACCAACGACTTCAGTGTTCGACCCCGGAGTGCCATGGTCTGTGACATTTCGCAACTACGGCAAGCCGGGGCGCAACAACTGTAGCTTGGTTGCAGGCAATCTTGGAGCTTTGGTCTGTTAAGCCGGCCGACATCTAGTCACTAGTCCTGTGCCGCTCAGGGACATATACCTGGAGCACGGGCGGCACTGGGGGCGCTCTTGCTGCATTTTACTCCAGGAAGAAGGCGGGCGAAGATGTGGATTGCGTTGGAACTCCTGCTGCGGCTTTTTTTGTTGTTTCGAGGCAGACCAGTGGGCTGAGGATTGTGGGAAGCCAAAGGCCATGTCGGGGCTAGTGGGTCAGTCTTTGGGTTCGGGTTTTGTTGGGTACTGAATGTGTGACTGCAGGTGCCAGATTGGTTGCGGCAGAAGGCGAAGGATCAAGGGGACATGGGGTTTGCCTCTGAGGCCGGGATTGTCTGTGGAATGCCAGCGCTAAACCAACATTTGCTGACATTTGCTGACAGTCACCGGAGCCTGGTGCTGCAGCCATACCGGCGCAGGACTTGTCGCATTCAATTCTTGGGGTTCCTTTGATTTTGTTGTCTCGCAGGATGCATTGGTGCCAGCACAGGAAGCTCCCGAGGAGACCAGCTACTTTCTCTGGCGTAAGATCACCCGACCATACCCGACCCAACACTCGGAAGGAGCTTCAATCGGCCGGTGCATCGTCGCAGTCAGCAGCTTTTCCACTGAAGGACTGTTGTCACCTCTTCCATCGTTTCGGTAGTCCGGTAGTCTGTGTGCTGTGGACACGGCAGGACACTGCCTCTTCCGAGATCATCGTTCCCTTGCAGGCTTGGGTCGCATCGCAAGTTCTTGTTGGCTTTCTGGTGTCGCACGACAGGACATTTCCGCTCCTTCCGGTGTCGTTCCCTTACAGGCTTGGGTCGCATCGCTGGTTCTTCTTGGCTTTCTGGTTTTGCACGACAGGACATTTCCGCTCCCTCCACCATCGTTCCCTTGGAGGCTTAGGTCGCATCGCAAGTTCTTGTTGGTTTCCTGTTTTGAAAGGGCAGGACCAGCCATCGTCGACGGTGTCAGCGGCGGAGGCTTGGGTCCAAGGTCTCTTTTACCCTTAAACCCTAGACCCTCAACCCTAAGCCCTTTTTTTGGCCTGGGTTTCGGGGCTGTGTGCTCTAGGGTTGGTGTGTGCCCGGGCTCATCACCGTGATCTGCAGCAGGACCCTTCTACGTTGGTGCCGGCTGTCTGGGCCTTGGTTCCCTCACCATGCCTTTCTTGTGGTATCTACTCGTGGGCTGGAGGCTGCACCTGAGTTGACTGCATCCACACTGACGCATCCGGTGCGGCCCTTTGTCGCTGCGCCTTCTAAGACCCTGCTCCTGAACTTGTCGTGTGCTGGAGGCTGTGCCTGTTTCGACATCACCTCCTGTGGGGGGCCTTGGCATTTTCGGCTTGCTGGAATTGGCTGGAACATGTTGGAGCATGTATCTTTTCGGCCGATTGCTGCAGCACGGCTCCATGACTTTAACAGTAGCAGCATGCACAAGCACACATCAGCAGACACTTGGACATCCATGCACGTTGGCACATGTTGGCACATACTCGGGAAACCTTGCGACACTTGATGACACTTGCCAGGGCTTATCTGCACATCTGCACAGGCCAGGCTCGCGGGAGCTTAGGGTCAGGACATCATTTTAGTGCTGGCCAAAAGCATGTTCGGGCCTGCCCTTCCGTCATGGGCAACCTTCCGCGACGTGGAAACCCGGATCAGGACCACGAGGATCAAGCATGCAGGACTTCCAGCTGGCATCCCTTGCAAAAGGCCCTTCGCCAGTGACAACACCGCTCCATGCCTGCATCACACCTTAAAGCCTTAACCCCTCCTCAGAACCGACACCTTAGCCCTAAACCCTGAACGAACTGAGGATCCCACGAAAGAGTTTCTACGTCGAATCGATGAAGAGTTCGACCCCCTGAAAAGGCGAAGCAGTCACTTGGACACCATTGATCATGACTCATGACCACAAATTACTTTCGGCATCCGTCGGCTAAGGTTTATGAGGACGGCGGAATCGTTTACGGCGAGTCTCCTTGTCGCTCCAGCCAGTATGGCTGCCAGGAGAAAGCTTCGTCTCTTTACCAGGACCAGCGCGGGAATATACGTGGCACATCCTCCCATAGCTGAACTGTATATCTTGAACAGGACAAGTACTCGGCTGCCAGTCCATTCACTACGAAATCGGCAGTCCCTTTGGCTTGTGCAGTCGCTGTAGGAGGTCTGGTTTAGGTTGAGGTTTGGATGGGGTCTAATGGGGCAAGTGTGTCTAAGGTCTATGAAGATGGCGGATCCATTTTGTCGTTGGGCTCTCCGATGAAAAATCACGGCTGCTTGGCGTGGGTTTCGCTGTGCCTTCTTGCTCTTCTCTCTTTCCTCCCAAGCTCTATGATTCCTCAAACCCTAAGCCCTAAGGAGGAGCTTGCTTTCGACCCCCTCGCCTGCGTCCTTCAGCATCGGGACCGAGCTGTTGAGAGATGGACCCTCGGGAAACGACTCTAGTTGAAACACGCATGCCTGGAGTAACGGAATCGGCTCTGGTAGTCTGGAATCGGAATCTGTGCCTATTGTACAGTGCGATAGATGGCCCCACGTTGAGCCCCGATGTGCGGCGAGCTCCCGGGGTGGCCCGGCAGGGATCGGCGCTGTGAGCGAAAACATTGCGACCTTCAAACAATGACTTTGAGAAAACTATGAACGGATAATCTATATATATATATATATATATGTATATTTTTTTTATTTATGTAACATCTGAAAAAGGCTTTCTTGTATTTCCAAAAACTACTTTAGAAATACATGAAAACAGCGTTTGTCGTTCTAAGTAATCATCGTACCATGGCCGAAGCTTTATCTGAATTTATATAGATTTTTTCTACGATGAAGTGTTTTCAATTAGAAATCGCTATGTTTGGAAATGAGGTTTGAGAAATTTATAAATCACGAAAGTTAGCATAGCTACTTTTCCGTTTCTATCTCCGATAGGCGTGGGAATGTCGGTCTTGAAAACGTTATACTGACGAGAAAACTCAATAAAAGAAAGGTCCCCTCTCTCCCCCGGTCCCGGTCTTGGAGTAGGGGCTCGAGATGCGCGGATCGAGGATAAATCGTAGAAAATCACATAAATGGTATGTCGGGTTTCGTCTATCGTCGTCATAATTTACGGGTATAATATACAAAATTAATAGAAACGGCATGCGAAAAATATCGGCCACGTCATATTGTATAGACCGAAAGAACCGCGATTTACGGGATATCGTAGAAAATGTCGGTTTACAGAAATTCCGGAAATTTTGGAAATGAGTTTGGTAGACGTGATAGTTGACAGATCATGCTTGGGGACGGACACCACCCTTCCGCTTCCCCACGACGGTCTCTCATGGGGGCGGGGGTGAGCACATATACATATACATATACATATACAAACACATATACATATACATATATACATATATACATATATACATATATACATATATACATATATACATATATACATATATACATATAGACATATAAACATATATACATATATACATATATACATATATACATATGTACATATATGCATATACACATATATACATATATACATATATACATATACACATATATACATATATACATATATTCATATATACATATATACATATGTACATCTGTACATATATACATATATACATATATACATATATACATATATATATATATACATATACATATATACATATACACATATATACATACATATACATATACATATACATATACATATACATATACATATACATATACATATACATATACGTATACGTATACGTATACGTATACATATACGTATACGTATACGTATACATATACATATACATATACATATACATACACATACACATATACATATACATATACATATACATATTCACATACACATACATATACATATACACATACACATACACATACATATACATATACATATACATATACATATACATTTACATTTACATTTACATTTACATTCACATTTACATTTACATTTACATATACATATACATATACACATACATACATATATATATATATATATATATGTGTGTGGGTATATATGTATATATATATATATATATATATATATCAGAGCCCAAGATAGTCGCGTAAATCATCGCAATGACATCTTCTCATACCGAGCTCGTACAGAACCCCATAGAACCCAATGAATGCCTATAAACCCGATAAGGCCCCAAATCAGGTTCCCAATGACAGCAGCACTGAGAGAGCCGCGTCTCATTGCGGGCTTCCTGAAGCGCTTCCGGCAGGAAAGAACCTGGGAGGTGCCGCTTGGATTTCGGGTCTAGGGTTTGTGGTTTCTCAAACGTTCTTTCAAGGTATTGAAATGGCTGTATCGTTTTTATTCTAAGGTGTTTTACAGGGCGCAGGACTTTGACAGGAAGCCAGGTTCTAAGAAGTAGAGGAAGTGGCTTTCATATTGTTTGGGTTATAAGAACCCCCACAAATCTTCAACGGGAGTTTGCTGCCCCTACGCTTGCCCCTGCTATTCCTACGCCTACTCCAGCTCCAGCTCCTGCTGGTACAACTACTCGCACTGGCACCAATCCTTTTGCGCATTGTGCTGAGCTCTGTAATTGCACAGTTTCCTTCCATATGGCCCGACAAGTACAGACCGTCGAAATCTGAGATGAGCATGGTATTCACTAACCCCATAAAGCCGTTAATTAATTGATTTAACTAAATACTGAATTGATTAGTTAGTTATTAATGGATTACTTAGTTAAATACATTACACTAATAGATTAAGTAATTGAGCCTTATGACCATCCCAGCCGCTGTTGTGAGGTGAAAACCAAGTCCGTCGGAGCCCAGGACTTGCCTGCACCAGTTTGGGAATGATGAGTGTTTGGGGTTTTGGTTTTAGGCTTTAGGGCTGAGGCATTAGGATGCAGGGTTTTAATGATTAGGAGTTATGGGGTTTTCGGATTTAGGTGTTAGAGCTTACAGTTTCGGCTTTATATTGGTGAACAGCACTTGTTTCATGGCTTCGTTGTAGCAGAAACAGTAGTTATTGCCTTGTCCCCGGAATCGGCCCTAAACCCTCGGCCTCAAATGGTTGGCGTGTCTTTTTGCAAACGCTGTAAACTGCTGAACTTTACAGGTTATCAACATTTTTCGGTGGTGCTGGTAGCACGATGGCACGAAGCGGCATGGCGCATGCAAGTTGCTCCTGGAAGTCGGAAGCCCAAACAAGTATCAAAGGTTTCATCATTGCTTTCCCACATTCACCGGACCAAGATCCAAACTCTGATGTACCTTACTGTTCGACTAAGTTGACCACAGGGAGGCTTACGATTGTCGATGTAAAAAGCCGCGAAAGCTGGTGCCTTGAAGCAAACTCACAGATCCAGGCAGAACGAATGCCCGAACAAAGCCACAAAACAACGACACCATAATCCCCAATCCGAACGTGAGCCGGGTTTTCAGCCGTATGCTTGCTCCCTTGATTGTCTCTCGATTACTATCATCATACACGAATCTCAAAGCAGCCTCGTATACAACTTTCATGTACCCAACACCCCAGACCCATGTAGGCCCCAAGTCTTTGCGCGGCTTGTATGAGGACTTGGGTATCGCTGAGCAGAGTCTACTGCCCGACGGAGAGCCAGCATGGAAGGGGCTAGCCTCTCGACAGATTTTGCGTCAGGATTTATGAGGTTGATAAGGGTTTTGTAGGGACTTCAAATGTAAATCCTAGCGTCGGGACTACGGCCATTCAGCAACTTACAACTGAGTTTTCGGAATAATGTTTCTGTTCCTCACACTCTTCCTGCGAAACTCCTGTAGTATAACACATACTCCTGATTGTGGCGGGCCTTGCCGCTGGGGTAGTGCAACTTTCTGTCGAAGAAGAAGTGTGCCTATCCAATCTATCCTGTCTGTCCGTCCGTTGGTCTGTCTGTCCTCTCTCTGTCTCTCTGTCTCTCTGTCCCTGTCTATCTATCTATCACGGAAAGCGCTGAAGCCTTGAATTCCAAATCAAATGCCTCACATTTTGGTTCCCGACCCTGGAGCAGATACTGCTTCATACCAAGACCCCCGGGAGGATCCCAAAAGGTAGATCCCTTAAGGTGGCTCCTATAAAGTACCCCTTGGTGCTATAGTATTATAGGCAATTAGAGGGTCCCAAATAAGGGGTTCTTTGATACCGAGACGCTCGCAACCATTCTTCCACCTGGCTCCGGGGACAAGCTGCCGCAATCAGAGCCTGGTGAGGCTGGAGGGACGATCCCTAAGGATTCCTTTGGGTGTTTCCGTAAATTGAGGCTACCTTATTTTGGGGTCCTTATAATCGGGCCCCCTATTTTCGGAAATTTCCATATATGTTTTGACAGCAAAGTACCTGACTTAATCATATGCTAGTTAAGCTTTAAGGCCAAAGTATAATTTTGGGGGGTACATGGACCCTTAGGGATTTTCGACTTCGGGGGTGTGCAGATCTTTTGTGTTAAGCCCCCAAACAATAAAATGTCAAAAAGACCAATGCAGAAATGTAAGGCTGCATGCCCTTCCGAAGTGCTGAACCTGAAAACCCCAATTCTTGCAACCCTAAACCCTAAACCCTGAACCCTAAACCCAAAAGGGGATGGGTGTAAGCCGATCCCATCACCCTTCCGGAAGTGAGCCCAACGGCCCAGGAGAGGGGGGAAGCTGGGCGTTTAGGGCAACTTATACCGAATTCCTGTAGCCAAGACACAACCAGTTTAAAGAACATGAGAGGTCGTAAGCACTTCCAGGCCTCTGTAAGAGATTATGAAACGTGTTGAAACTTGCTTGAAATATGTTCAATTCCTCCGCTTCTCGGGTCTGCAGGGCGCGCTGCGGTACGAGCGAGAGGCTCCCTCTTGCATTGAAGCTTGCGGTTGGAGTTGAGGGTTGAAATGTGAGTTGCGTTTTTGTTCATGACGTCGTGCATGAAAACTCTTTAATTAACAAATCCTCAACCGTCCGGATGAACCGTTGCAGGCTTTGCATGGTGTCGGCTGATGCTTGCGACCAATATATCATTTAATATACTTCGCTGAGCCAACATGTGTAGGTAGAGCCCTCTGTACTCCAGCGATTCAGGCCCCGAAAGGAAAGTCTAACAAGATCTAAAGGCCCATAATGTAACACTCTTTGGGAAATTGGAGGAAGTCTAGCCGCAGGCTTGCACATTCACAAGACTTGCGTACTCGAAGGGTCAAAGAGCAATTGCGATTGACATGGATCTTTTCAAGGGTTCTATATGCGTTCGATAAATTGTTTTTCGGCATTTAAGGGTTCATGCAAGGGCCTTGTCATAAGCATGTGTTTTGTTAGACGGGTTCTTGACACGGTTCTACTACAAAGCTCCGCAGCGGTTTAAGCCTACAGGTGGAGCATGTTATTGCTTTTTGTGGGGACTGATCAGGAATTTTGTTGCTCACCATTTAGATCCAATGGCTACCTCCTGCGACAGGCACTTCCTTGATCTCGTGGGTTCGAAGATCCGGTTGGCGATGGGTGCTGGCACTGGACTTGGTGAACGACGCTCTCGAAGCTTTGCAACGCGTCTCGGCTCCCTGGCATGGACGAACAAACCATTTAGGATAGTGAAAAACTTTTGAGAATCGCCTAAACCTTCAACCCCACCATGTTTCCCGAACCACAATCGATTCCGAGGCCTAGGTCACCATGGCACTTACGAATTCCCACTTAAGGACCACATAGCCTCAAAGTATATAGGGTCCCTATACCCTGGTACCATGAATCCCTATGTGATATATAAGCCTGAAACCTTCCTATATAGTTCTTTAAGATCGAGAGACATAAACCTGCACACACACACATACACACACACACACACACACGCACACACAAAAAAAAAAACACGTGATAAATGAGCGTGGGCTCATTCACGGCAGGTAGCATGTCACAGGCGCAGACAAATCAGACGTATGGATACCCGGAGCCGCATGTAAATGTACGCAGACAGACGGAGTGGAATCTTATTAGGCATATACATGTACATACTCGAGGACAACGTTAAGGTGTATGCATACAAGCGTACTACATAAAAGTAGTTGAAGCACTAAGGAGAAGACGATACTGAGTGGATGGCGACGTTGAGCGACAGACCAGCCCACGCCGAGACCGCGTTGCGACCGAATAAAGCTCGCAGCGGTGTTGTTCGACATTTTGGATCGTGGCGCGACAACCTAAACTCTTAACCCCAAACTCCAGTTAAACCTTAAATCAAGATCCTATAAACTCTGAGTGAATACAAGCCTGATCGCCAAACATCGACTCGTCGCTGCTGTCGGAGGGTGTTCGATTTCGTCCATCAAAGGCCTTTTCAAGGTACAACATGAACTGTTAAACTTTCATGAGGGCGGCATAGCTAGTCATGGTACTCCGTTTCGGTCCCTAACATACATAAAGTATGGTAGGGTATCCCTCTCACCTGTATTCTATTTATTGCAGAGCAGTTGAGTTTTCTGCCTTCTCTATGTTTATTTCCACCACATGGACGCGTAGGGGTTGGCTAAAAGCAGATAAAAACTACACTCCTAAAGCAAGAAGCACGGTTTGGGGCCTAGGAGCTTAGGGTATATAGGGTCCAACGCTCCAAGCTCTACCTTGAATGCCTTGAGTCTCCCATGCATGTCCCTGTTAGGTTTCTCTACTTTTTGTGGGTTCCTAAAACCAGAAAACCCTAAACTTGGCTAGCCAAGAAAGGCACGAACATGGAAACTGCAGGCTGCCTCAAGACAGCCAGTATGCGAAACCCTCTCAGAACCGCTCTTCAGCCGAATAACTTAGTCGTAGAGTAGGTAACCTGTAACATATTTAGGGTAGTATAGTCCCGGTAAAATCCCTAAATCTCCAACAAGGTTAACCTTATAGTTCCCCATGATACCCGACAAGTAGGATAAACCTCTGCCACCCCCTTAAAAAATCCAATCTTGCGACTCTAGACACCTAACCCTAAGCCCTGGAGTGCACCGACTTGGTCCGAACAGCACCCCCCCCCCCTCCCACCCCCCTAAACCCTAAACCCTAAACCCCCACCCCCCACCGAAAACAAAAAAAAAAAACTGAGCCCACTGGCGGCTCAGAGCTCTTGTGCTAACAGCGAAACGCGGTCACTTTGTTCGGACTTTTTCTCCGGGTTCCTTGATCAAGTTATAGTATAGTAGGCCCCAAAGCCCTCATTTAAGTGTTCGTCCTCCAAAAGGGCCTAAGCCCCAAACCCAACGAGTCTACGAAGAAACACGACGAAGCACAAAACAGAATTGAGAACATGAGAGATGAGTTTTAAACTCTTCGAGTCTTATCAGTTCTATCCAAATAATCAGAGCCCTCAACCTCGCAGCCAAGAAAAGCTAATACCGTCACTCAACGCTCGACATGCCGCAGATTCGCTGCTTGCGAAAATCCTTCTGCCCTACTGCCGGCAGGCTTTCTTTTCCGTTTGCGGTGGGGTGGGGCAACAGTGTAGAGACTTGCAAAGCAGAGCCGGTGGGCTTCGGGTTCAAGAGGTTTGAACGGATCAGGGCCTATAGGCTGTAGGGGTTTGCAATGCGGCGGCAGGTTGAATCCATTGAGGCATCCTGGTTTAGGGCGGGTTAGGGTTTGTGGACTAAGGTTTCAGTAGCACAAGGAGCCTCGGCGCTTCGACATAGATTAGGGAGCGGGGTTTCAGTTATGACAATGGCAAGCCGGAAACCGAACTGCGTAAGAAGCCCCAAACCCTCAACTTAAAGAGAGAGGTTCAACACCGACATGAGGAGGGTTGCACGATGTCCGCGGCTCTGCAGTCGAACTGTTGCTGCATGATTGCCGCCACACAAAACACCTAGAAACTTCAGTTCGTGTTTGTAATCTTTGTTTGGTTGTAACTTTAGGATCGGACATCTACCCTAAACTCCTAAAGCCTTTGAGGTTCAAACAAACCGGATCTCCCACTTCCTGAACATCGCTCTCTTGTCAAGCTTGTTCAGTGTCCTCTTTCAACACATCATCAAGTTCCTTTGGTGCTTGAGGATTCATGGGTATCGTGAGAATTGGGTTTGTGCAAGGGAAGTTAGTTGCGATTGTTTCAACCACCTTCACCTTTGATCCAAGTTCTTATTAGCCTAGCTATACCCTAAACACTCAACCATGCCGGGTATATGGCTCCGCGAGCAGTTTTTTGAGAAGCCAGGTAGCCAACCACCCGAAGAAGCTCATGACCTTCTACGCTACGGCAGTGCTTGTTGCGGCCTGAGGCATAATCCCACAAATCCATGTGCCGATATAGTATATACCAAGGCCTCGGATGTCACCCTTTCTTGGAACAGCAGGGCAAGCTCAGAAAGCACAAGCGCTCAAGATGTTGGTGTCATGTTTACTTTACCAGTTGACAGTAGTAGACTTTACCCCGAAACGGTATTCTAGTTATTCAGGCCCCACATTAGATCCAAGGTCCCCTCAACAAGCCTCGACCCGAGAGCCTTCACCCCAGAAGTGTTACAGTTGCTGCAGGGTGGTTCATGATATAGCAGCACTGGAAACCTGCAACCTGGCGAACCCCGTAGCCAACAGCAACCCAAACAGTAAGATAATACCTGGACTCACACATCAGCCAAAGCCTACAACACACCCTCAAGCTCTCACTTCTCCCATGAGCTCTTAGGTACCCTTGGCCATCTTCATTGTGCTCCGGGGCTTTGCCCTGGAGTCGGACTTCAGCGCCGGGACCCCTGATGGAGTTAGGTTTCAGAGTCTACGGTTTAGGGTGACGCCGGAAACCTTAAGGCGTTGCCCTAATCACACAACCTACCTTTCGAGGGTTCCGAGTCCTCATGGTTTATTCCTCCCAGAAGCCCTTAAAAAGGTAGGTCATGCAGGGTCCAGGTCGGCTCTACGAATCAAGGATGTACTAGTGGGGTTGAATTACAGAGTATCACTTGGGGATTTGAGTCTCTAAACCCTAAACCCTGAACTTTAAGCCTAAACCCTTATAAACTATCGTCTCCTTAGGAATCATTTTTGGTTCATATAAAATCCAAGAGAATAGGAAAAACAGTATGTTTGTTATGGTTTTAAGGGGGGTATAGTAAACTGGATGTGGGGATCACAGGTCAGTAAGTGCCCTCGGTACAGAAAACGCCCCTGAGCATCGCAAAGCCGAAGCGCTTCGAGAGCGTGCAGAGCTCAATAATTATCGGGGCCTCCAGGGAGAGTGCAGGGTTTAAGGCAACTAACCACCATTTGTGTTCCATAGGGCTCCTTCTTGTAATGATACTGTACTACGAAATACCCCCAAAAACCCTGGTCTAACTATTGACACCCCATTGTTCGTGTTTACACAGCCTGACAGCAGCGAACCGGGATCAAGGGGTTCTGGGTTCAAGGCTTAGGAGTTTACGGTTTTGGATCTTGCGGTTCAGACAGAAGTTTGGGGAGGTTAAGGGTTTATACTTATTGCGAGTTAAAGTAGAAGCCAGAAAGTTGGAATATGATTATCCTAAGCCCTTCTATGGTAAATTATAGGGTATCCTACCATGAAACCATATTCCAACTTTCTGGAGTTCCCTGTAACGGTTTGAACAGGTTACCTAAACCCCCCAAAGTAGGTAACATAATGGCCCAAATACCCATATAAGGCTATTGTTCTGCATACTTTGGGGGTCCAGGTAAGGGTTTCGGAAAGAGTTTGGGGTGTAGGGGTTGCCGCAGAACTTCCAGATCTGCAGCGCCTACCGAAGAAAGAGCTTCGTAGCGGGTTGGATCTGACATAACATCGGGACCTTAATAGTCAGCTTTACTAGTTTGGGGTTCCTCATTCAAGTTATAGCATAGTGAGCTCCAAACCCTTGTTATAAGTATCAAGGCCCCATATTACTAGATATTGGTTGTTGCTTAGGGCTTTTAGGGTTTACGGTGTCAGATATACTAGGTTCCAGGGTATATCCCTGTGTGTTAAATCGTAATGGTTTGTTCTTCGTGCTTGTTGCCGCTGACAGCAGACTCAATCAGCACTCGTTCAACGTTCTTTTGTTTATAGTGTTCAGATGTGCACGTCATAGAGGCCTTATAAGGCCTCGAAGGGATTTGTTTTTCAATCACTGGCTGCGTCGAGACACCTGCACACACCGATGTCCAGCACGGCGCGATACCCTAAACCACGCAAACCACCCCTAAACCCTAAACACTCCTAAACCCCTAAACCCTAAACCCCAATTTCCCTTGCAGTCCCGTGAGCCGTGAGCTTGCCGAAACGTCTGCATCCCCAACAGAAATCCGAAGCACCCTAAACCCGACCCTTACAGGCCTACATAAGCTTACATAGGGTTTAGGGGTTTAAGTTAAGGTTTACGGGTTTGGAGTTAAGGGTTATATAAGCTTCAAAGCGCTCAAACCCTAGAGGCCGAAATCTCGGAACTCTACGGCCCTAGCGAGAAAGACCACCTGGGTCTCTGCCCGAGGCCTTCGTGAAAGCGGATG